TTCCCCTCCTCCCCTGACAAAAGTTGCATTGTAGTGTGTGCGCTGTTTTGTCAACAAAAGGCAGGTTTTGGTGACAAAACATGCCAGTGTAGACAAGGCCCTAGTCTTCAAATTTCACCTGGGGTCCCTATCTCCTGCACACAAGAACGGAGTGGCAGCAGGACTGGGTTAATTTCAGCTGATACCAATAAAGAAAGACAGAGAGATGTACATTTTTGTACAGCCATAAATACTGTTTATTTTTGCTGTATAAAGACACATGAAGCGAGTGGTGCCGATAACAAACAGCCTCTGCTAATATAAAACATGATGGTTCACTTCCTACCGCCTGTAGCCTGGTCTGGCTTTGATACAAGTGACATGAGTGTTTACAGCTGGACAGCCAGACATGGGACCAACATCTGCTCTCACTTACACTAGTTTAGCCCCATTGTTTTAATGCTTCCTGCTGGTTTTTCTAAGTGTAAATGAAATCAGAATCAGGCCTTAGGGATTAGTCCTTAAAAATGGTAGCCATGCTAATCAGTTCAGATTCATTGGTTTGTAGTAAATCAACAGCCCTGATCCTCACCAATCAGCATCTCGCTATTAAAGTCAATGAAGTCAGCTGAAGAACTGGCCCCCTATTTAGAAAAAACAAATATTTACCCATGTTATAACTCGCCATCAATTTTGCCAACCCCAAGCAGTCAAAAATAATGATTTGGTTCCCCCCAAAACATGAGTTTTGCTGAAAAATCATGGGATTGAAATTACATTGTGGAGGGAGGTGATCTTTTGACTTGCCCTGTGTTTTTGAGTTGTTGGGATCTTTCCCCCACAGATATGAAGGGTAGAAATGTAGGGTTTTTGTTTTGTTAACCAAAACATTCTCGTGCAATCACAGGATTCCAGAAGCTGGGATTTAAGAAAAAAAATCAAGTATTGTTTGACTCTCAGTAAAATGGCAAGAATTGTCAATGCTGCATCAGCTTGTTAAACTGAAATGTATATAAACAAACCCCCAAACCCGAATGTTATTGGCAATATGATTTGATCACTCTGAACTCAGGTGGTTTAGTTTTGCCTGTTTATCGTCAGTTTCTCTTTTTCTTGCACTAACCCATTGTTATGTTTTGTGCTGTCAGTGCTATTGGGGAATACAGGCTGGAATGCAGGAATTTCAGGGACTGGTGGGGTGCTTTTCCTGTAAATGTGGACCATAATTTTTTTAAATATAAAGTTCAAAACAGTCATGCAATGAGTGTGCATAAGAGAGGTTAATTGAGTGGAAACAGTGATTAGTAAAATGATTTTGTTATAACATACTAAAAATGTATTCAGTAATAAAGGTTTTATAGAGATTCCCTTCTGGGATCTTGCTGTAATATTGTAAGTGAAAAACAATATTCCAAAAAATCCCCGGCCTCCCGGGAAGGCTCACGTAGAATCAAGCAGGCTGGCTGGGCTACAAGAGGGGCTGGTGGCTGTCCTGCTCCTGCAACAGCAGCCAAACCCTGCCCTGGCCTCACTCCTGGGAAAGGCAGGTGGGAGGAAAGGGGGGGGCAGAAATCAGCATGAGGAAGAGAGGCTGGAGCAGCCTGCCACCCCAGCCTGGCTGGGGGGTGCGTTCACGCCCTTCACACCCCTCCCTTGAGTACAGGTCTGGAATATGTAAATTGAAAAAACAAAACTAAACAGCTGCTTAATCCATTTTAAAGAAACTGAGAACATTTCTAGGCATGTGGTGAAAACTGGCTGTGCCCCTTGAAATGAAAGCAGAGCTATTATACATGGAACCATTTACTTCAGTGGCTACGGGTGAAAAGTAATAATTAGAACTTCCCCAGACCAATGCAGCACGGACCTGATCAGGAGCCTTTTGAGGTCAATTGAAAGATTTTCCCGCTTCCCACTGGCTTTGGCTCAGTTCAGAAAACACATTATTCACCTCCACGTTCAAAGTGAATGGCAAAGAGACGTTTGTTGCTTTAGCCTGGGCAAGATGACATTTCACCAGCATCCCGGGAGACTGGTTCCTTATAAAAGTTTTCTCTTTGCTAAGGGTTTTACCAAAGCCATATGGCCTGCCTTAGTGATAAAGACGCATTGGAACAAGATTCCCAAACCAACCAGAAGGTTGCCTGTTTGGAGTTTATAATCAGCAAGGGACTGATGGCATCACCTGGGCCAATGCTGTGAAAGGTTCCCCCCATTCCTAGCTGCAGCAGTACACATCTTAGCCCTGGGGCGGCCCAAGGCGAGCTGCAGCAGCTGGTGCCCCAGGTGGAACGTGCGATCGGTGCCCCCGCCTGCATGGCCGTCAATGGCATGATGTCATCATTGGGCGCCCCAGGCGCTCCATTGAAGGCAGCACCCTACGTGACAGCCAAGTTGGCTTATACTCATGGGCCGCCCCTGCTTAGCCCTGATCTACAGTAACTATAGTATTCCCAGGCTGGGCATCTCCTGGAAGAGAGCATGACACTTGTGGCTAATGGTGCTGTCATTTCCTGTTAGGGACTAAGCCTCAGAGAGAGGGTTAGATGAACACCAGGCCAGAACAGCAGCCGTTATTTCCATCTGCCAGAAGGAATGTGAACCCGGGTCTGCAGAGGTAGAAAGCGGGTGTGTTAACTCACAGGCTACGTCTAAACTGTGATCCTCTTGCAGAAGAGGAAATGCAAATGGAGCACTCATTTGCATACGTCACACTCATATTTGCATTTCCTCTTCCTTTTCCTTTTGCGCAAGAGATTTTTGCACAAAAAAGCGCTGTGGAGATGGCGCCTTTTTGCGCAAAAACCTCCATTTGCATTTCCTCTTCCGCACGAGGATCGTAGTTTAGACGTAGCTACAGTAATTCCTGCCCTCTTTCCAGTTGCTCTCTTAGCCTTTCCTGGGTATTGAGGGGTCTGCTTCATTGTCCTCCGATCAACCAGCCTGGTGAAATAGCTGTTCTCCAGCTAGGATTTCTGTTACATGGGAAGAGATTTGTGTGTCAGAGTGAGATACGAATACGAATTGGTACTCTATATATGCAACCTGTTACGTCTCTAACATCCCTAGAAGCAAAGAACAGCTCCTCTGCTGGTGTAAACAGTCTTTGCTCCATTGACTAGTGGCCATGGGGGGACCATGAATGGAGCTGCGCCAATTCCCAATCAGCTGAGCATCTGGCCCACCACCTTTACAAAAGATCTCACCTTTCATCCAAGCATCTCAAAGACTTGGCAAACTCAGGCCGCTGACAGTTTTTCTCACTTTGTCCTTGGGGGAGAGGGGTAATGTTACAGTCTTGTCAGATGCTCCTTCCAACATAAGAGTCTGTCTTTACAAATACGGCCATAGAGGTCTTCTGCAGCAGCAGCTGCTTAGGATACAGGGTTTACCTACCATGTTTTGAGTTAAATCGGTATTCCTAGGTTTTAAGGTCAGAAGGGGCCACCCAGAATCATTTTATTTGACTTCCTGTATAACACAAGCCTCAGAACCTCAACTACTAAGTCCTACATCAAGCCCATTTTTCCTGCTTGACCTATGGTCCATCTTTTAGGCTAGGTCTACACTGCCACTTTTTCTGAATCTTTTGTTGGAAGAGGCTTTTCTGACATTTGGCCTGTCTAGACTGAAAATACGGGGGCTTCCGAAAGAGCATGTTTACTCTTCTGCAAAAAAAGTGGAAGAGCAAATATGTTCCCTGCATGCAGAACAGTGTAGTCTAGACGTAGCCTCAGAAAGACACCCAGTCAGTCTGGTAGGATAATTAACTAATGGTTACTGCTGTATAAGCACTCTCAGTCTGATGTAGGCGGTGAGTCAGCAATGCAGGTAAGCTTGGGTTTAACTTTAAGCTCCACTTGAAGCCAAAGCTAAGTGCTTTACTGTGCTGGGGCTTTACTGAGTGGCTATGTCTAGACTCCATCCCTTTTTCATAAAAGGGATGTAAATTAGACGTATCACAATTGCTAATGAGTGGGGATTCAAATCTCCCCCGCTTCATTAGCATAAAAATGGCTGCCGCTTTTTTTCCGCACGGAGCTTTGCCAGAAAAAAGGGCCAGTCTAGACGCTGATCTTGTGGAAAATAAAGCCTTTTCCGAAAGATCCCTTATCCCTCTATGAAATAAGGGATAAGGTATCTTTTGGAAAAGGTGGAATCTCCATCCCTACAGGTCTTTAAATCTTGGCTTGACAAAGCCCTGGCCGGGTTGATTTAGTTGGTATTGGTCCTGTCTTGTTTAGGGGGCTGGACTTGATGACCTCCTGAGGTCTCTTCCAGCTCTATGATTCTGTGACAAACTACTGTACTTTTTCTTGCGCAAAATGCGCTTGTAGTGTGGACACTTTGCGAGTTTTTGTGCAAAACCAAGTGGTTTTGCGCAAAAACTCTGCAGCATAGACATAGCCTGAGGGTACGTCTAGACTACAGGGTTTTGTCGACGGAAGTTTTGTCGACAGATACTGTCGACAAAACTTCTGTCGACATAGAGCGTCTAGACACATTCAGTTTTGTCGACAAAGCAAGCTGCTTTGTCGACAAAACCCTGTAGTCTAGACGCAACCCTACAGGCAATAACACCTTCTGTCGACAGAACTCTGCAGCTTTCCATTTGTCATTCCACATAATAACATGGTGCTTAAATGGGATCCGAGGCACTTCGCTAGTTATTGGGATGAGCCTATGGGCGGGCCAGATCTGTGTCAGGAAAAGAGGGAAAGTTTTAATTCTCACATAGTTTCCTTGTTCGGTAAGCTAAGTGTTTCCTAGTGATAGGGAATCTGGCTGTTGATGCACAGATGTGCACACGCATGTATACAACACATACACACATTGTGCATGTCTGCACATGTTCAATCATCATTTCATTTTTATTCTGTTCAGAGCCACAGGAGGCTCTGTGGTTATAGCACATAGGAATGGCCCCACTGGGTCAGACCAAAAGTCCATCTCACCCAGTGTCCTGTCTGCTGACAGTGGCCGATGCCAGGTGCCCCAGAGGGAATGAACAGACCAGGGAATCGTCTTGTGATCCCTCCCGTCGCCCATTCCCAGCTTCTGGCAAACAGAGGCTAGGGATGCTGTCAATGCCAAGGCATCATGAGACCTGACAGTGGACTGTCACAGACCACGTTGTTCCTCAGTTTCTGCAAACAACTGAAAAGGGATCATCCTCCCCTCTCCCAGTAATTAATCCCTCTTTGCTAATATTGCCACAGTTCTTATCTAAAAGTTCAGAGTATTAGTACCGTAAAGTCTCTTTTATTTTGAAGCTAAATTAAGAATTACACAGTTCTGGAAAGTCGTTTCGGGCTGCTTCATGCTGATTGTGTAGACCTTCTCTTGTGGGCAGAATAAGCCTATGGTGTATATTGTGTTGAACCGGCCTCTCTGGTTTCATAAACATCAAGAGATTGGCCAGAATTGCAAAGCTCAACTCCAGATGGACATCTCAATTCATATCTTCCCACTGTATGGAATAGTTCATGGTAGGTATCATGCAGCTTTCTCGAATGGATAGAAATCGATGGAGTAGGGCCAGCCGTAATGGGGATGGAGGATAGTCGTGTGGTATAAGGCACTGGGGTAAGGGTCAGCTGATTGGGGATCATTTCCTGCTGCAGACTGCCTGCATGTCATAAGTGAAACCAGGAAAATAGCACATCATTCCTGTGCCAGGTTCATTTAGACTGTGAGATCTCTGGAGTATGGTTGGTCTCTTACTGGGGGCGTGTGCAGCACCTTGCACAAGGCAGCCCCGATCTCAGCTGAGGCTGCAAGTTGCTGTGGTGGTTAATACTAATAATACTAGGACTAGATGCAGTGGACTTGCGACCTGCTCCATTCATGGGGAAGCGTCGCAAGCCGGGGGCATCGTAACTCAAGCCCTCATTTACTGTAGGTGCCGTGCGCCTGTCGTCAATGTGGGCCGAGGATGTAAGTCTGGGGTTTCTGGCCGCTTCCGCACTTACAAAAATGGTTGTAAGCGCGGGGGGGTCGGAACTCGGGCGGTCGCATGTAGGGGGCCTCCTGTACTGTAAGTCTCTCTGTCCACACACGCATGTATGGACATACATGTCTCTCTTTTTATGATAAAGAGCCTTTTACCTCTATGTTGCAATGCAGCCCAAACAACTAGTGACCACAGATGGCTTCTCTCTGAGTGCTCCCCGAATGGGTGTGATAGGAGTAGGATCAGGTCCCAGCAAGCAGGTGGACACATCACAAAACCCACCAGTTGGATGGGCCTCATTGGGAGCCATCCCAGCAGTGATGCCATGGCACCAAATGGGCTAAGGAGGCGGAGCTCCTCTCACAGGCCCCGCCCTCAAAGAAAGGTGCCCTCCAATGAGAATCAAGGCACATTGGCAGGTGGGTAGCTGGCCGCATGAGCCGGCAACCCAGGCTGTATCTGTTTTGTGGAGCGAGGACCCCAGTCCCTGGGACTGTCTCACTCCCATGCAAGTCCAACAGAACTCTGTTAACATTGTTGGATTTATACCAGCAAGCTGAATCTGGTCCTCAGTGTTTGTGCAGCCCCTGGACTGCCTCCAGCCTGGACCAGCTCTGTTTAGCTCTATGTGCCGGCACCTTTCCTCCCCGTTGGACCAGCCTAGCCCATTTCCTGCCAAGCTGAGCAGTTCTGCAGGTTTATCTGCTAACCAGAGCTGAGCCTGGCCCAGCTGCCCAGGGCCCCCTCCTGCCTGGCATCATACAGGTAATCATAGCCAAGGGAGAATGAAAATCCTGAGTCTGGTTGCTAGAACTGACCAGGGTCTGAACTATGTGTGTGAGTGCAACGTACAATACCAAGCACCCGGGGCTCACGAGACGGCATCTCGCAGAGCCGTGCCTGGTGCTCAGAGGGCCACGTGCACCCAGAGAGCAGCCAATGGAGCTGGGCTGCAGCTGGCGCTTGCAGAGACCTGATTTTGAAATGGCCGCAAAGCCCCTAGTTCCGCCTGGATCAGCACATCGATGTCTCTGCTGGGTAGCAGGGCACCTGAATGCCCCCTGGAGCATCTAGGCGAGCGCATGGGGATCCTAGCTTCAGAGCCCTGGTTAGACACTAGGGCCCAGAGACCAGCTGGGGGCGGATGCCAGGGCCACTGTGGGCCCGGCAGGGACTCGCCCGCCGTATGGGGCCCCATCTCTCTGGCTGGGCGGTTCCAAACCGTGCCGACGTCATGGGAAAGCCCCACATCGACTTGACTGGGGTTTGGTGCTGGCCCTGAGCGAGAGGGAGGGGGCTGTGGCTGGGATCCCGGATCTCTTTTCAAATAGTCCAGGAGGGATCATCATTTTCAGTGTTTACTCTCCCCCCAGAGATGATAGATGGGGTCCATTTACTACCCCCCAGAACAGCGCTGTCGTCCTTACGCTGCTGGTGATAACTACAATCCCAGATGCTACCGGGACACAGGCTGCACGATGCGGTGGGTGGCGGGTGGACGTTCTCGCCGTCAGAGCCTGTTGCTGGAACTGGCCCTGGCACCCCCGACACGCGTGGATGTCAGGCAGCTCCGTGTTGGTTGTCTCCTGCGGCTCCTGCTTTACGTGGCGTAAGACTGTGCAGGGTGCTGACGATGCGGCGAGAGGAACGAGGTGGGAACACAAGACAAGGAGCCGCATGCCTCAGGAATGCTGCTCGCCTCCTCTGCGAGGCTGTGCCTCCCAAGGGTGGTTGGAATGTACATATGTACAGGAAATGGCAGTCAATGGGTGCCCTGCTCTCCTACGGGGTGGGGGTCCTGGCCGGGTTCTCTGTAGGCTGTGCCCTTGGGCAGCCACCCAGGGGAGAGTAAGGTGCTGCCTGGCAGATAAGCAGAGCGCCCACAGTTGGTAGCATGTGTTTCAACGGGTGGTGCACATACCGTGGTGCACTAAACAAAATTTATTCCACTCACAGATGGAAAAAAATTAGAGGGAATATTGGTCCTGAGCATCTGTTCCAGAGAGCAGCAGCAAAGCATCAGCAGGATGCACTGTGGCCTGCTGCATACGGTGTCCGAATGGGCACCACAAAGGTGCAGGGATCCTCCCCAAGAGTCCTGGGGCAGTTGGGGAACCCCAGTAATGCTGCTTCACAGATCCTGGAGCATGATGCACCTTGCAGCAGCAGCTTGCACGCAGCTGGCTGAGGTTTCTCTCCACAGGTGCCACCTACTGGTGTCAGTGGAACAAAAGCCAAAGCTTCAATGGCATAAGACTTCCTAGGGCTGCAGTGCTGCAGTTTGCATCGTGATGACTGAGGTTCAGGGGGCACCTGGGCTTTTATTTCACCTGGGAGCTAAAGAGGGCTGCTCCACCCCCAGGACAGCAGAACCTGGCTCCCCACTCTGCCCTTCCTGCTGGCGGGTGGGGACTGTGGGCTGCAGAGCTTCCCATCTCCAACCTGCCTTGCGGTGCAAGTTTGGTGGTCGTCTGATGATGCGCTCGCAGCCCGCGGGCCTTCCTTATTCCCTGTCCGATGCCGCCGTTTGGTTTTCTACCATTCTTCGAAAGTTTCAGCCAGAAATCTGTTGCTTTGGGGCTCCTGCACTACAGCCCCTGCCCAGTCCCCCATCACCTGGTGTGCTCACGGAGAATCAAGCATTTGCAAATGTGTTTTTTAAGAGTCCTCGAGGAGCCCCGTGGGTCCCCCCCAGCCACCTCCGCTAGAATTCCGTGGTGGTGACCTGGGTCACCTCTGAGTGCAGTTCCTCCCCTCTGCGGCCACGGGAGCCCCGTTGGTGGCTGTCCATGTCTAGTCATGCCGGCTTGTGGAGGGCTTCGGAAGGGGTGCAGGTGGAGACGCGCTCCCGGGTGGTGTTCCTCGCCCGGGAGAAGCTGTTCTGCTCCATCCGGGACCGGAAAGGCAGGCAGAACTCCCGGAAGCACCTCTTGAAGTTCTCGTCCAGGAAGGCATAGAGGACAGGGTTGAGGCTGCTGTTGGTGTAACCCAGGGCAATGCAGAAGTGCAAGCTGGCCACCACGTAGGGGTTCTTCTTGTCGATGTCCACCAGCGTCCAGACCATGACGAAGATGTGGATGGGCGTCCAGCAGATGATGAAGGCCGCTACCACAACCAGCACCATGCGGGTGATGCGGCGCAAGTTACGGTCCTTTTCCTTGGAGCCCGAGAGGAGGCGGACGCTCTTGAGGCGTAGGATCATCAGGCCGTAGCAGATGGTGATGACCAAGATGGGCACCATGAAGGCAAAGATGAACACGCAGATTTTGGTCACCGTATCCCAGTACATGGGGGGATCAGGGAACTGGAGCATGCAGAACACAACCCCATCTGCAGGGGAGAGAGGGGGAGAGAGATGTAGCACAGCATTAGTACTGTCTGTTACTCGGACCGCTCGTCCCAAGGGGGCACTTACAGCCTCTTCTGCTTATTAAAATGGCACAGGCGAGGAACTCGTCATGTGTTCCCATGTTTCTGTGTCAACATAATTAAATACTCCTGACAGTCGAACACCAAGCGATGAGAATCACATGGGCAGGATAATTGGAACTGCAGTTGAATTCAACAGGCCTAATTTGCACCAGCGTAGGAGCCTGCATTTGCATACAATAGGGCCTTATTTGCATGCTGTGTCTCCCATTGTATTCAAACGATTAGACTGTTCAAAGATGCCACCCCCACAATCCTGCATGCAGCCAACCGGGCACCCTTTCCAGCAGACAGATCCGTCTGTGTGCCTGCAGCTTCCACCCTTGGTACCTGTCAGTTCCCTAACAAATCCAGCTAAATTCCTAACATTTGCACTTGGATTGATTTAACTCTGGCTACAGAGTGCTTCAGAGATAGAGTCTCAGATGGGAAGCCATATTAATCTGTATCTGCGAAAACCAAGAGAAGTCCTGTGGTACCGTAGAGACTAACAGATATATTAGGGCAAAAGTTTTCATGGGTAAAGCCCACTTCATCAGATGAATTGGAATGGAAGTTACAGAAGCAGGGGTATAGATAATGAAGTTGCTTATGTTAATGAAACTAATCAAGTCAGGGTGGAAGTGGGTCATTCACAGCATTTGGGGTGGAGATGGGAATATCCAGAGAGGGGAAATGGCCTTTGTAATGCGTTAACCAGTTGAGATCCTTATTCAGTCCTGAGCTGATAGTGTTGAATTTGCAAATTAATTCCAGTTCAGCCAGTCTCCCTTTGGAATCAGAGAGAGAAGGGATTAGTTGTGCTCAGGCCCAGCAATTTAAAAAGGCCCAGGACTCCGGCCACCACTGCTGCTACTGTGGCAGAAGCCAGTGGCCTGGGCCCTTTAAATCACTGATGGAGCCCCATGCACTACGATTTGGGTGGCACTGAGGGCTGGGTGGGGGAAGCGCAGTGCGGTCTGAGCACTTCCCTCCACTCCTTCCACGGGCCCTGGAGACAAGCCAAGGCCCAACGAAGTCTGTCGACAGCCCAGGTGCTAGCCCAGTGCCTTACACATTCCACCATCCTTCCCTTCCCTTCTAGCCAGCGGCTATCTGACGCGACACCTACACACGTCTTACACCCGGGTGGGGATCCTAAGGTCTGGGGGGCAGAGGTGCCTCCCAGCTTGCTTGGCTCCAGTCCCTCAGGGCACAGGAGCCTCCCCCAACATGGGGGAGCCTGCGCTGGCTTGCCAGCCCCTCCCCCTGCGGGGCTAGAGCACACAAAATCTACTAGCCTGGGACCACTAGGCTCTGGTGTGTGAGGCGAATGCGGGAAGCGTCTTTCTCCTACTCAGTCGGTTGCTTGGTTTTTTTGGTTTGCTTCTCACTTGTGTGCAGCCCCCAACTGAATTTTTTGTGGGTCAGCAGCCCCAGCCCAAAAAAGGTTCCCCCCAAATGCCCAGCTAGCACGGGCATAGATAGCAGTGTCAATGGTGAGGCACTGTTTAGGTGAGGAACCAGCCATGTCAAAGCCTGAAGGTACGGCCCCGAATGGCTCTCTGCGTGCCCAAGCAGCACCGCCTCCAGCTACACTGCTCTTCTTAGCAGCATAGAGCCCACGGCGTCCCTGCGGCCGGGGCCTTTCCCCACCTCAGGGGGAAGCTCTGGCAGGGGGAAGGCAGAGGGCAAAGGGTTTGAGAGCTGCCTGCTGCTGAAGTCTTTCCCCCCTGCCTCTCCCCTGCTAGAGTCTTTCCCTGCTGCGTTGTTGTGGCTTGGACACAGCCTGTTTTCCCTGCTGCTGCAGGCACAGGCGAGGCCTGGGTGCCAGTCCCCCTGCTGCAGGCGGGTCTGCTCCAGTCCAAGGGGCGCAGCAGGGGGGCCGCCATCACTTGCCTTTTGACTTTGTCACAGCCAGGATCATGATGGGCACGCCGATGACCGAGGAGAGGACCCAGATGCAAACGTTGATGACCTTGGCCTTGGCGGGGGTGCGGAAGTCCAGGGCCTTGACCGGGTGGCACACGGCGATGTAGCGATCCACACTCATCATGGTGAGCGTGAAGATGCTGGTGAACATGTTGTAGTAGTCGATGGAGAGGACGACCTTGCAGAGCAGCTCCCCGAAGGGCCAGGTCTCCATCAGGTATTTGGCGCTCTGGAAGGGCAGCGTGCTTGTGGCCAGGGCGTCCGCCAGAGCCAGGTTGAAGATGTAAATGTTGGTGGCTGTTTTCATCTTGGTGTATCTGAGGGGGCATCGGGAAAGAGAAAGGTTAAAGAGGTTTGTCCTTGGGGGGGAGGGGGACTGTGCAGAGACTAAGGCCCAGATCCTCAATTTTCTTTTTTCCTGGCGGCCTCTCCACCCTGGCTCCGCCTCTTCCTACCCCCACTCCACGCCCTCCCCTGAGCACGCCCCACTCTCCCTCTGTCTCTTACTCCTCCACCCTCCACCCCCCGGAGTGCCGCCCGCCTGCCACTGAACATCTCAGCAGCAGGACTTATGGTGGGGCCACCGAGCAGCTGATCAGCCGGGTGGCTGAGCATCCACTATTGTCTTCTTTAACGTTGGCACCTATTCTGTTGAGGCTCTGGGGCCTAGTCCCTGTCTATAAGGTGGGTTAGAGTCGAATTAAGAATTTTCCATGTCAATCCCTTCTCCTGCCCCCCTTTTTTCTTCTCGTTTATCTACACAAAACTTTCCATAGGGGTGGAATTACTAGGCAAATCTCCATTTCAAAATCAACTTCAGTAAGGGTTAAGGGCTTGATCCAAAACTCAATGAAGTCAGTAGGAGCCTTTCTCAAGACCTGAGTAGGTGTTGGATCAGAACTTACGTGCATGTTGAGAATGAATCCATCTTTCCTGGCTTACTTGTGGAAGGGATTTGTGCAGAAATGAACCATAGGCCGCAGGTCCGGATGTGAGTCATCAAAGCACTGAAGCGCTTGCTTAACTTTAAACACACGATTAAATCCCATCGACTTTAAATCGGGGCATATGTTAACCAGAGCAATGAGAGGGCGTGTTCCTTCGACATAGTGTGGTGTAGACACTGCAGTAAGTTGATCTAGCATTAGTGAATACCTAAAGGGTGCACAGCACCTTACAAGATTGGGCCTTTAGTTCTTCAACACAGGTCCATGTAGGATCATTTCAAGGCCTTGACTACACTATGGAGTTTGTCGACAAAATAATGGAGTTGTATGCACTGAAATGCTCCCCCCTCCCCACCCATGTAACTCCCCTACTGTGTCGGCATAATAAAACCACCTTTGTGAGAGGTGTAGGGCTGATGTTGGTATAGTTAGGCTCATGCTAGACACTGCATTCCTTCCATCAGCTGTTGCTGTCATTCTTGTCAATTTCACATCTCACCTTGAGCCATGAAGTTAAGGAGAAAGCTGGCCCCCAAACTGGGATGTTGGTTGGTCTCCACTCCAAGCCAGGCTGCCGTCGGGGCTCCCTGTGCCCTGTTGAGAACCTTACTGCCCCCTGCTGCGAGCAGGGCAACGGACTGGACTCCAGGAGAGGATCTCCCCACTGGAGGCAAGAAACCCCAGTGGGCAGCAGTGGGGATCTGCATGGAGCTGAGAGCCCTGACTCTCAGTCCCCCACACTGTCCTTCTTCTGTGGATAGAAACGCTCCTGGTGAGGATGCTTACCATGGACAGGAGGGTAGGTTGGCCATGAGGCACCCCAGTAATTAATATGGTGGCTGTAAATTAACCTAACTTACGATGATCTAGCTTTGTAGGTTAGACATAGCCTTAGGCATGTGTTTAACTGGAGTGGTTTCTTTGAAATTAAGCTCATACAGATGTAAACAGGATCTGAAGGATTGCTTCCCTTGCAGCTAGCTCAGGGCTGGGCAAAATACGGCCCGTGGGCTGGATGCAGCCCGCAAAGCCACTGGGTCCAGCCCGCAGACCACCCTGCCGGGACCCTCAGGTACACAGTTGCTGTGGGTTTAAAGTGCAATCTGGTGGCTCTCTGCTCTGGAGGGGGGCTTTGTGTGATCTCCCTCCCCCCAGACCAATCCTCAGTTCCTATTGGCCAGAAAGAACAGGACAATAGGAATTGCCCCCAGCCAATCTCTCAGCTCCTATTGGCTGGGGTCCAGCCAATAGGAGCTGAGAGATTGGCCTGGAGGATGGGGGCAGCACAAGCCTTTTCCCCCTCCCAGAGCTGAGAGCCACATGGAGGGAACAGCCTGCAGCTTGAAGTGATCTGGGGCTGCAGCAGGCAGGGAGCCCAGCCTGCCTCGGGTGCTGGCCCGGAGATGCTTAGGTAAGTGCCTCCCAGCTACAGTCTGCCTCTGGCACCCTGCCCCTCCCGCACCCCAACTCCCTCCCCCAGGTCACCATCCAAACCCTCAGCACCCTTGCCCCAAGTCACGACTCCCTCCCAGACCCTGTACCTCCTCCTCCACTCCTCCCCCAGGCCAGAATCTTCTCCTGCACCCAAACACCCTCCCAGACTCAGCACCCCAACCCCCTGACTCAGGTCACAACCCCCTACTTCACCCAAACTCCCTCTCTGACTCACACTGTCTCCTGCACCCCAGTCCCTTACCCTGTGTGGCCTTCTGTATCCAGCCTCCATCCTAGACCCTGACCCGCTCCACAGAAAAGGAACATGGAGTGTGGCCCTTCACCACTTTCTAAAATCTTGGAGTGGCCACCCACCAAAAATTTTTACTTAGCCAACACAGGATAAGGCACTCCCTGACAGTAGGGAGGGTTCTGGAGTGGTTATGGGGACAGGGCATTACCCTGTGGCATGCAGAGTTGTGGGTTCAAGTTTCTTCCCTCCCCAGAGCAGCTAGATAGCAACACAGGCTGTCCCAGGGATGACTGCCCTGAGCTAGGGGGATGAGACCTCGGGTGTGTCTGTGTAAATACAGTTTGCTCCAGCTTTGCTTAGGTTTGTTAGATATTCAGCAGGTGGAATGGTATTTTGCTTAATTTGTGTCCCAATACCAGCTCTGTATTAAGTGCAGGAAGAGCTGAGACATGGTGACCAATGTTTGTAATGCTGTGGGAACACAGAAGAGGACTGTGCTAACTTGTTCCAAAGGGAAGGGCTCACAGTCAGAAGAAAGAACCTTGCTAAGACGGGGCTTGACTTGCAGTGCCCTATGGGAGGAAGGAGAGGTGAGAGAAGGGTGCTCTGGTTTAGAGGCTGCAGAGCCCCTCCCTTTGCTTGGACGGGTTAGCCCTGGTCTTCCCCTGCCCCTTCTTCCAAAGACCAGATAAGAGTGAAATCACTGGGATTTGAAATCATTGGAGACTGATGGGCAGAAGTCACAGCCAAGAGGTGGCTGGCGGCTGCTGGTGACTGACAGCCAGCAGGGTGGTGGTGGAGAGATGCGATGCCACAAGTGGGCTGCAGGATGGCGGTGGAGAAGTGTGACAAGCTGCCAGCACGGTGACAGCAGAGAGCAGTGGGCAGGCAGAGGGTGAGTGACCAGAAGGGTGAGTGAGATGCCTCCTACCTCCCCTTCCAGGAAGAGAGGTGAACTCTGCAGCTGCACCTCTGAACTCTGGGTCTACTCTGACCAAGGGCACCAATTATAAGTGGGGGGCAGAGAAAGTCTGGGCATGTGAAGGGGACATTCAGGTTGCTGGACAAGAACCTGAGATGAAAAGGACATTGTCCAGCCTACTTGAGGTGGGACTGTCACTCTTGGTTTATATTTATGAACCCTGTTTGGGGTATTTCCCAAATTAATGCCAAGTTACTTCCCTCCCTTTTATTAAAAGTTTCTTTTTTACATTCAGGCTTGTGAGTGGGGAATCATTGCCCCTCTGAGGCACCCAGGAGTGAGGTGTGAATTTCCCAGGTGGGGGCTTGAGTTCTGCATTGGATGGATGGAGAGAAACCCCTGGATATTGAACCAGCCCTGGCAGAAGGGCTACAGTTAGGTACTTGGCTGAATTGGGGCTCCAATTAGGAAAGACTAGAATAAAGTTCAAACTTGCCTGAGTTTCTAATCCCATTAGCTGAACAAGGAGGCATTAATCATTTCAGAGAAAAACAATTGCTTTGAGAATTCAAAGGAATATGAAGTAATAGCGCATGAAGAGTCTTTCAGAAAGGCCTTTTCAGAAAGGCCTCTTTTCAAATTATACCAATTTAATCTATCTCTGCAGCTCAGCTACAAAAGCAGTTAGGCAACGTTCTTCATATGCTTTGCTTTGCTTTGCTTTGCTTTGCTTTCTTTCTTTCTTTCTTTCTTTCTTTCAGAAATCCATTCAACAACCTAAGGGAACTAGTGTGCTGAAATATCCCAGTTAACAATATTTCTTTGAAATTTTAGCTTTTTCAGCTTCCCCGAAGACTTTACAAACTTTATATAATACTAGAAGATTTACCCGGTGTTGCTTGGGTCCCTCAGGGCTGCTGGCGTGCGGGGTGCAGGAGTCAGAATTGGGGTAGGGAGGGGCTCAGGGAAGAGTGTGGGAGGTACAGGAGTCAGGGCATGGGGTGGAGGTGCAGGAATCAGGGAAGGGGGTGGGAGCGGCCACTGGCTGCTCCCTGGGCTAGCCTGGCTCAGTGAGGGCTGTGCTGCTTGGCCACCAATGGCTCCATAGCTCTTTGAGGCCATTGGGTTGGCCGGGTCCTCTCCTTGTGCTTGCTCTGTGGTCATTCTGTAGTATACCTGTCCCTGCTATCACAGCCCTCCCTTTTCATTTGATGAGAAACAGTCGCATTCCATGCCCATCCCATTGTCCTGGCACAACCAAACCCTGATCTTTCTGTAAGTTAGGATAAGAGGAAGCTGCATAACAAATTTGGTGGTCCTTGCTCTTACCCTTAGGAGTTCTCAGACAAACAGACTCACACATGGACACATGCACAATTTCTCTCAAATATATAGTAGATAAACTTCACATAACCCTAACTCAGAAGAACTTGGTTCTTAGAACCACTTTAGAGCAGGTAAACCGAGAAACACAGGGACACATTTCTAGAAGAGCGCTGGGCCAGGTTTTCCCTGTGTACAGCAGCTTCTAGCTTTTCAGAAGTGCTCAGCATTCAATGTGCGCCTGAGGTTCTGATATCTTTTGAATACCTGCCTGCTTATGGAAAGGCCAGAATAATTTGGCTGTCTAAAATCTGGGTACTTTTTAGATACCTAAATGGGAACTAAGTGCTTTTGAAAATTCTGGCCCAAGAGATTATGCAGTTTATATAAAATCAACACGGCCAATGGCTAGCAGCTCCAGGAACAGAGCTCAAGGGACTTGTCTTCTCACTGCATTGTGCACTAACCACTAGTACATTCCTTCCTATTTGCTGAGTGTGTCGATGCATATTAAACAAGTAGAAAACAAATGCAGTTAGCCATTTTCATAAAGCACTTGGGATAAGGGCCCTCCTGGGTCCCTCATGAAACACCGAGAACTTTCAGAACATTACTGAAATTAATTTTTTTTCCTTTCGGCCTTCAAATGATTGGTCTTGCCCTCACAAGTTCTAAAATGCCGAGTTCCTGCACAAGGCCAAATGTAGAACCCCGAATATTCTAAAGGGTTCCGGGGTCTTCAAGGTTCTGAACTGTGAAATCTATGAAGCTGTCAGCATTTTTAAAGATCTGCAGCCATAGCCTCAGGTTGGTCTTGGTTGAGTGTTCCTGACTTTGGAATTTGCTTCCCCAGCAGATTGGAGAGCTGTTGAGCTGATGAAGTTTAATAAGAACAAATGCAAAGTCCTCCATTAAGAAGGAACAATCCGTTTCACACATACAAAATGGGAAGGGACTGCCTAGGAAGGAGTACTGCAGAAAGGGATCTAAGGGTCATAGTCGACCACAAGCTAAATGTGAGTCTACAGTGTGACACTGTTGCAAAAAAAGCAATCATGATTCTGAGCTGCATTCACAGGAGTGTTGTGAGCAAGACACAAGAAGTCATTCCTCCACTCTACTCTGCACTGATTAGGCCTTTATTGGAGTATTCTGTCCAGGTCTGGGAACCACATTTCAAGAAAGATGTGAAGAAACTGGAGAGGCTCCAGAGGAGAGCAACAAAAGTGATGAAAGGTCTAGAAAACATGAGTTATGAGGCAAGGCTGAAGGAATTGGGCTTGTTTAGTTTTGAAAAGAGAAATCTGAGGCTATGCCTACACTACAGAGTTTTTCCGGGATACTGGAACAGTTTCCGAAAAAGCGGGCACGTTCTTTTGGAAGCCCTGTATTCCTCATTTTATGAGGAATAATGGCTCTTCCAAAAGAGGAGGTTTTTCCCACATTCGGCCCCATGTAGTGGGAAAGACTCTTCTGGAAAAAAAGGCAGAAAAAGGTAGGCAAAAAAAGATTGCAGTGTAGACGTAGCCTGAGAGGGAGCATGATAGTGGTTTTCAGGTATCTAAAAGGGTGTGACAAAGAGGAGGAGGAAAAATTGTTCTCCTTAGCCTCTGATAATCGGACAAGAAGCAATGGGCTTAAATTGAAGCAAGGGAGGTTTAGGTTGGACATTAAAAAAAACTTCTGAACTGTCAGGCTATGTCTACACTGGCACCCTTTTCCGGAAATGCTTAAAACAGAACCGTCTCGTGGTCTGGGGTGGGACTAGGGTACTGGGCAGGAGTTTCTGGCGCTGCCTGCAGCTGCCAAACCCCAGTGATTGCAGACACTCTCCCCTAGGAGATGAGGTGTCAGGTTTTGATCTATGGCTGGCCTGAGGGCAGAGCCAGATGCTACCTTGCCTGGGCTGAATTCCTCCGGTCATGGAGGAATTATTATTCCAAGGGAGGGTTCCCGCAACGCCGCAGCCTCTCCTTCATAATAGGAATGGAGTGTGCTCCCTTCACTGCCCCCAGGCTGGGACGCACGCTCCATTGCAAGGAGAGGCAAGGGACTGGGCAGCTCTCACCTTGCCCCCCTTTTCTCCCTCTCTTGCTTTGGAGGGCTGCATTGGAATTGTTGCGCCTCCTTTGTCCAAACAGAAAAACCTCCACTTGGG